AGCACAGCCCATAACAGATGGAAGTGCTTTAGATTATGCTCAGCAGTGTGTAGTTGGGTGGTCAAACAATCTAGTATTATGAATGAAGTGTGTTATATTTGGTGCTAAAGTTTGCATTTGGTAAGTGTTTATGTAGTTTTGAGTGCAGTTCTTCATTTAGCAGGAGAAATGAGGTGTTTTGCACTTTGGGTGTGTGGTTTTGTGAATTGTGTTTAGTGTTCTGAGAAACTGAGCAATTTAAAAAGAAATGTGTGTTAGCAATCGAGAAAAACTGTAAGACAAATCTGTAATATCATATGTCACTCCATAACATAAAACAAGTTAAAAAATAAACTGTGCTTGGAGTCTGTTCAGACATGTCACCATCAGTTCTAACTGATGACAGCAGGAGCCCGTCTGACAGCACAGCGATGTTTCCCAGCAGGCACAGGGGCTCTTTAGGCTGTCAGCGCTGCTTATTGGTCCTGCCAAAATATGTTGCCTGTTAGATAGAAATCAAATAATTTACTCACACAAAAATACATCATACTTTGTGACAATGGACTGCAGGCTTGACACTTTGACATGTATATTCAGCGCTTGAGTTACCTTGTTATTCTTCCTTCATTGATATAAAAGGGGTTGACAAAAAAAATGACATTATTACACAAGCACAACAAACTACATCCCCAAAGAAAGACGATTATAGCCTCCATACAAAAAGGATTCATAGCAGGATTGTTCTATTAAACTGCATTCATTGTATCTGTATAGGCATACCAAATAAACTGGCAACTAAGTTAACCACCTAAGGAGCGTGAAGGACCAGTTTCCCCTCAGTGCTTGTTGTTTCTGTTTACTGAACCTCTCTATTTTTAGTTGCCATCTAAGACAGCTAATTAGATGTTTTTTCCTCCTCTCTCCCAACTCCGCCAGATAAGTAATGAAACATCCAAAGAAAGTGGTAGGATATAATAATGATTTCAGATAGTCATCATAGCACCAACAGTTGAAGAGACTGTATGTTGAAGTTACACAGTATAACTTGTGTCTATAACATGGTTAGAGTGTAACACTTCAAATGACACAAGGAAATGGAGTTAAGCTGATGACAGAACTGGAACACACTGCTCATATAAACTCAGCTGGACATGCAGTCCAACCTGATCCACTGTATCAGCAGAGATTTTCCATTTCATCCCAAGCATCCTGTCACCATACTCTGTGAACTATAGCAGGACTTGACATAAATACCCTCTGGCATGCGTATAAGAGAGAGAGAAAACTCTTGTACTTGTACCGAGCTTGCTGAAGCGTGGCCTTAGGAGCAATACAGTGTGTGTGTGTGTGTGTGTGTGTGTGTGTGTGTGTGTGTGTGTGTGTGTGTGTGTGTGTGTGTGTGTGTGTGTGTGTGTGTGTGTGTGTGTGGTGTGCAAATGAGTGGTTTTCACTTTTGCAGGGTGGATATGAAAGAGACAAGTATCTGCTTTGGTACGTTTTTTATGTTAAAAATTGAATTCCCTTTTGTGCTGACTCATTCAAGATGCTGCAGGTGT